GTATTTACAGTTCCACTGGCTCTGGACTCTGCCGGCAGCTGGCCAGAAGAACAGATTTGAACTTACACATTATGCCAGAACATGTGCATTTGATTAGAAGAAAGAAATTATGCACATTTCTTCTGGATGGTGGGGTTCATCAGACCTCCCTAAATTGCAACTAATTGTAAACTAATTGCAAGGCGTGTTGCTACCCAAGTATCAAAAATACCTTGTAACATACAATAAACCAGTATATCTCAAAAGGCAGTATTGCTGTTCAGCCTACTGTAGCTATAGTTTTCTGTTATCCCACTCTTCAAATCTGTATCTCAAGTCAGAAAATTCAGCACTTCACTGTGTTTTAATTGCAAACTATAGAATTTTAATGTTACAGAACAGCACTTTTCTTTCTTTGTATATAARTGCAAAATTACCTTACCTCACTACCTGAGTTACGAAGGACTTTGTGAAACTAGTCCTGTGACATCTCATCTATTTCTTCACACCCCAGGAACAGAGGTCTTGGTAACAACCTGCTAGGCAGATCATGTGTCAAAACCTACCTGGGAACACTCCATCATGTGATAGGCAGAAGAACCCATTCTGGCTTTCAGCAAACACTCACCAGCTATGAACTGTCACCATGAAAGACCTACTTCTCCTGTGACCATCAGAGAGAGTCCACCAGGTGGGATGAGCGGGATGGTGTAGGGGCAACAGCAGAGAAAGCAAGTTTTCAAAAAGATTCACATCCCACAGGGACTTCTAAATTAACTAATCTCACATTGAAAATACTTTTTTTTAAACTTCAGGCCATATACTTGCTACTGAATACAACCAGTTTTGAGCTGAAAACATCAGTCATAGGCTTCCTTCAACATAGAGCAGCTCCTAAGATTATGAATTCTTGCTTTATTTTCTAAGCAGCAGGACTCACTGATGTCCAGCAGGTGCAGGATGAGCTCAAGGTCCCCAGTGGCAGCCCTGACATGGATTTCAGCCCTTGGTGGTACCCAGGGGGGTATCTGTGACTCAGAGCAGGACGTGCTGCTGTCATGACGAGGTGCAGAGTCCATTCAGAGCGCAGCCACACCAGTTCAAAGTACCTTCCACCCCTGGCCGTGAGGACCAACGCAGGCGCTGGCAGCACGTCAAGCGCTGACTCAGCTGAGGTGGCCCAGGGCAGCAGGCACTGACGGCATTGCCCTGGGACCCTGCCCAGCCACAGCGAGAGCTGCCCTTCTCCAGCACAGGCAAAACGACAAAAGGGCAATACCACAGCTTCTTAGCAGCACGCGAGTTACCCAGACATCCCACTGCACACACAACTTTTACGTTTCCACACACGAGCCAGCCAACCTGGTTTCTGCCAAAATCTGTCCCCTGCCTCCTCACAGCAGGGACTTCCAAGATTCCCCAGGTTCTGCAATGCCTAAACAAAACAAACAAACAAAACAAAAAAAAAAACAAACACTCCAAAGACACTCCACCCATCACCAAAACATTTCTCAAGTCTTGAAGGAGAAATTTCCAAAATGGTTTCTCCTCTGGAATGTGATCCTGTCTTAAGAAAAAAAAAAATAAAGTTACTGCTTTTAATTATTTATAGGACAGGGGTTTTCTACAGGGCACCCCTCAAGCCCCTGCAAATGCCAATTAATCCCAAAAAAGAACTTTGGGAGATCTGGGGAGTCAGAAGTTGCAGTGTATCACCCTTTCACCTGCAGTCCCTGGAGCATCACCCGATCCAGAGGGCACTCTGGGTGACCAGCCTCGCAGACCAAGCTGCAGCTTTGCTTCTGACCCCAAACACCCACCAGCTTTTCTCCACCAAGTAAAGCCCCAGCAGAGTAGCAACAGGTCCTCAAAAACAGAATGACTTCTGTCCTCAGGCTACAACATCCCTCTRCAAAAGGACATCAATCTTCTCACTCTGAGGACAGGACTGAACTTGGGTCAATTATGCCTCTGTGATGTYGTTTGTCATTTACCTACTAGAAAAGGAAACCATTGTATTATCTTATTAAAAAGTGGAAACTAGTTGAGGAGAATGCAAAAGCCAACAAGAAGTGCATTGGATCTGTCAACCTTTAACCATGTTTCGATCATTTAACCAACTAATATTTTAAAATATAACTTACACTGAAGATAGAATTGTATCACTGGTCTGCAAAGACAAAAGGTTACATTTCATGATCAGCCCGCAAATGTCAACCCGCAGATCCTATGAATATCCAGTACCCTTGAAAATTTTACTACTGTCCATCCTTTTTGATGCAATCTTAACTTTCTCAAAATGCTCTTGAAATTCATTTGGAAACAGCACAATCCTAACTGACTTGTTTCCCTCATTGAGCTACAAGGAAAAATTCCTTTATTGGATAAAAGTTCTTTGTGTCTTCTTCTTTTTGTGTGATGACAGAGACATGAAGCATTTCACATTAAAATGACATAATCTGGCATAAATTAATTTACTAGGCAAATCTCTCCCCCCTTCCAAAACTTATCTGAAGACTAAAGTCATACTTTTTATTTAAAAGTATAAACTTTTAAATAATGATGGGTTGATAGGACATAAGTATATTTGCATRAAAAACTGAGTTACCATGTAGCTAAAAGCTAACATTTTAAACAAACTGTTCTGAACTCTTATTTCAGACTAATATCCATATCCCTAAACAGTAAGTTACAACAGCACATATCCTGCAAAGAAGTTCTGGTCCAGTTGCCACAAACACCCCACATCCCTACAAATGTTAAGCTGTGAAAGTTTTGTGGGCATTCATTTACATGTGCAATCTGTCCAATAAAATAAAAATACATTGAATTTAAATCTGGGATTTGTGTGTATGYATTCATTAGACTTCAGATGATAAGCAGAGTAAGAAGGTTTAATGGTGGAAGAGAAATGTCTTTAGGCGACGTGGGAAMCTGCATGCACTGTAGTAGTCAGTTGTTAGTCACAGGAATAATCTTCCTGCTGAAGGCATCCCACATCTCAGTTACAGATGGCAGCTGCTATTCCAGGACCTCACATATCMATGGTACTTATTATTATAACAAGGGGATTGGTTACTATTAACATCTGYGAAAATTTCTCTGCATTTAGTTTTATAAATGATATTGACTCCCTTTCAGTCCTGGACTGTTCTGTAGCACTTTGCATGCGCTGTTCAGARTCTGACAATTTTCACATTACAGCACAAGAGCCAGAAGTCTGTCTTTATAGCAAGTTGCTTGCTGTCTATTCATAAAACAAGTTCTGACCTGTTYGCTATTACCATTTGTACAAAAATTACTTCAAAAACACTACAACTCTGTTTTAAAATCATCTCTACAACCCAAAGTCACTCCCCAAAACACCCTTCTTTCCAGCCAGTGCCAATTGCCTTCATTCATCCTGCTGATTTGTTTCCCAAATACCTTGTAAAAACGCTGGACAGCCTCCTTTCACCCCAATCCAACCTTTAAATAATCCCTCTCAATATCCACCTCTACACATACCCCCTCACTCCCCACACACCCTCTTAGCCAGAAATGCCCTTTCAGCAGTAAATAGGTAAACAGAATYCACCCAGAGAAATTATGAGAATGACCTTAAAGGTGTGCCAAAGCAGGATGGTTATTTATACCTCGTAATACCAGGCTCTCAACAGCAGTAAGTGAAATCCAATCTACCTACATTTTAGAACATATCTACCTAAGCTTTAACTTAATTGATGATCAGCAACTCAGTGGAGCTAGGCATAGGATCAATGTTTCAAACTTTTATTATTCCCACTACTGTATGGAAATGTGCAGGGGTCCATGCACAGGTTTCAGTGTGTTCCCAAGAACTGGTAAATATCACTATACAGTTTTTTTTTTATTTTTTAGAGGGGAATCTCAGTACCACTCATACATGCCCTTAATCCAGTGCAAGTCAGGATAAAAAGAAATGCCTAACTTCTCCCTATTGTAATTTTTTTAAAGTTTCATTGGTTTTTGTTTCTGRCATCTCTAAAAGCAGTTGGCATTTTAAAAATGTACTATGTATTACAGAATTCAAGTCAGAAATAAAGAAATAGAGATGCTTTTAGCATTTAGGACAATGAAGTAAGCTTATTTCCAAGCTGGTTCACTTTGCCATCACAAAACAAAGAAAGACAAGTTGTCCCAAACTAATGACATTGCAAGTGCAAATAAACTCCTTTGGGAAAGAAACCAGTAATACAAGTGTCATATAATTCAAGTGTCTTCTCCATTTCTGAGAAAGCCTACAAAAGAACAACTTTTCTCTTTAAAACAAAAGTTTGCTGTGCTYAAACTGAGCATCCCGTATTTTGTGCATACCCCATGCAGTAACGATAACCTCTTCAGCTGTAGAACGGCGGCATGAGTTGGAACCTCGAAACAATTTAGAATACTACTACGTGGCCAAAAACATCCAAATAATCGGATCAGAGCCGGTTACGTTCGCACGGAGAGAGCTTGCTCCCCGCCAAACAGAGTCACGGTTAGATGTTTTTGGTGGGGTACGCCCCACGCTGGTCCACCCTGTCCGCACCTGGGGTGAGCAGCGGGCAGCGGCGGGATGCAGCTGCCTCCAGCCCCAACGCGAGAGGCGAAGAACCACCTGCAGCCCCCGGGATGGCTGCGAAGTGATCGCCGGTGCCACACAGGGGAAAAGGCAAGGGACTGCCCGGATCCGGCAGCCGAAGAGCCCGACGAACRCCCAGCAAGGGGAGGCGCGAGGAGCCGCTGGCACCGGCGGGGCGAGGGAYCCCGCACTCGGCCGCCAGCGGCAAGGGCCGGAGAGCCGCTGCCGTCACGGGAGCCCCTCGGACAACGCACGGCACCTCCGCCAGCCGGGACGGTGCTGCGGGACACAGGCACCCGCCGACAGCGCGGACGCGACACGGGCGAGCGCCCGTGGAAAGTTTGCGGCGGGTCCCTTCGGCAGCTGCGAGGCGGGTCGGGCCGGCCTAGAGCCGGTGCCGGCGGGCGCACGGGAGGGACGGGGACCCGCGGACCCTTACCTTGGACCGCTCTTTCACGTAGTACTTGCCGAGCCGGCTCCCGCAGTACATCACCAGCCGGTCTATCAACGTGAGGAGAAAGTTGATGGCTTCGCAGCCCTCCTCCGTGCCTCCGATCCACTTGATCTGGTCACCGCGGAGGTGCCGCTTGGCGACACCGCGGCTGGGGCCGGCTAGCTGCCCGTCGGCCAGCTCCCCGTCGCGGTGCATCCTCTTCACCCGCTCCAGCACGCAGTCCCCCACCACCTCCCCTAAGAAGTTGTCCAGGTAGCAGAAGCCGATGTCGTGCAGGCAGGGCACGACGTACTCCAGAGCGATTCTCTCCAGGTCCAGCCTCATTATGTGTCCCAGCGGCATGGCGCGGCGGGGTCGGACGCGCCGCTGTCCTGCCGGCGCCCGCGTCGGGAGGCGATGCCCGCCGGGCCGCCGTCCGCTCCAGGCCGAGCCGGGCAGGGGCTCCGCCGCGGCGCGGGGCCAGGCGAGGCGAGGCAAAACTTTGGCCGCGGCGGGCTCGGCTACGCACCGCGGCCCGGCGCTGCGGGAGCGGCGGTGCTGCCGAAGCCCTGCGCTGCTGCTACTGCCGCCGGYACCCCAGCAGCGTGCGGGACCGCCCCGGGGCGTGCGGGAGGGCGCGGGCAGCCCCCGCCCGCGGTGAGGAGGGCGGCAGATGGCCCCGCGCTGATTAATACGCCGGCTACGTGCGGGATGTGTGCTCGCGCCGCCGCACGTGGGTGGGGCCGCCCGCCGCGGCAAGACCGCCCCGCCCCCGGGGGCGCAGGCAGCCAATCGCGTGCGGCGGGGCGGGGCCGGCCCGCGGGGACAGCGCGCCCAGCGCTCCCACACGTGCGCGGGGGGCGTGGCCCGCCAGCCCCGCCCGGCCGGGGGTGGGCGTGCGCAGCGCCATTGAGGAATTCTGCCCTGGCATGTCGGCTGAGACCCCCGCCCGGCCCCGCAGAGCCGGCCCGCGCCCCCGGCAGGGAGCACCGCACCTCGCCTCGCTCCGCCGTTCCGGGGGTCTTGGACTAGTCCGAGTGAAGTTTGCAAATGCCTTCCCGGGACTCTCCGGCCGCCTCTTGCCTCCGCCTACCGCAGCGGCAGTTTCAGCACCAGACAGAACTGTTGCATTAGGCGGCAGGTACAGCTTTTCTGGGCGAGGAACGCACCGCTTTATAAAAGGTTAATATAGCAAAAGAGCACTTCCCTGAATTATTTATCGAAGGGGTCCGCCAGGTTGGTGGCTCTGGTATTAGGAAACACCTCCCAGACCGTCAGCGGCTTCGTGCCACGCCGAGACAGCTGCAGTCAAACCGTGACAAACTTCGTTCCAAACCAAAACTCGCCTTTCCCCCGGGTGACCCCTTGCCGGTAGCACTGTCCCTGCACCGACCGCCCGCCAAGTACGGTCCCGCGGTCGCTGTTGGGTCTGTCCCARCCGAGAAACATGTTTTCACGTAAAATGCCTCCTGAGAAGCGAAAAGCTGACAACCGCTCAGCTCCGCTCACACACGCAACGTGCCCGGGATTTGCTAAACAAACAAGAGAAGCCTCCACAGAAACCAAAAGCAAAGCGTAGTCACGTTGCGGAGAGGTGCTGCCCGCGGCCAAGCCGGGCGGCACAGRCGGCCGTGCCTAGGTCGGTGTCTCTGAATTTACCGGCATCACGCCACACAGCCCCGCAGCCCTCCGTGTGCCGAGGGCATCCATCCTGCTCGGCGGCGACCTGTGCTGTGCCCCGCCGAGCCCGCACACACACGCAGCCCCTCCGCACCTCCAGCGATGGCAGCGCGGCTGAGCTGCCCCGGGATCCCGCAGGACGCGCGGTGTGTGTGCGCCTGCCCGTGCGGGACGTGCTCGCACACCGCACACCGCCCGGCAAAGCGGCGGGCACAGCCGCTTCGGCTGGAACCCGGCACATTTCGCCCCCAAAAAAGGCGAAATATGTGCTGGTTCTTTTCTACCCCTTCACGTCGCGAATCCTGACGGGATTACAAACAGTCCGCGCTGCTGATGCTGCTCGAGCTGCAAACCCCAGGCCCCGGCATATGCAGGAGCGGGTCACGTATCCCACGTTTGTTCTCCTTGAATCCAGTAGTATCTACCCTCTGTGCATAACAGTGAGCGCAGGTCTAATCCTCTGAAGTTATTCCCCGACAGCTCTGTCAAGAGCCAAGCAGTATTACTTCAGATAACTTCAGATACGGACTGTCAGAGGACCTTATTTGATTTAGGTACACACTTCACATTAAAGTGGGGTTATAATTAATTAGATACAATTCTGAATTTTATTAATCCCTTAATGCTTGCCTGAAAAATCAGTCAGGTATGATAAGAGCAGTTATAATCAGCAAGGGATGCAAGATTAGCTCAACTGCAAAATATGTCAACGTTATTAAATTTGGATACATTAGGAAATATTAYTGATGCATTTTTGCATTGTTCGCATATTTTTTGTTATGTAAAAGCCATTATRTGCCAAAACCATTTGATTTTTCTTAGATTTTCCATTTTCTCGTTTACATACACATGCAAGCACACAATCCTGTACCAGAATCAAGAATTTGTAGATGCTGAACTTCTAGCCTTTCTGTCAAGTGTAATGATGTCACTGACAAGTCAAGGGCTGAGAGGGATGTCTTCTGGCAGTAACTGAAGTTGGTCACTGCAGCTTTATTTCTGTCCTTTTGAAAGCTTTGAATTAGGAGTTAGACAGATCTGCATCAGAAAAAGTTACCTTAGTTAGAGGTTTGTCTTAGAAAACTTAGTCCACAGTCCCACTTGCAGATTCATATTCACAGAACTGTAAATACTTCTATACCTCAAGCATTGATGTAATGTCTTCCCCAGGAGGGCATTCACTGCCTTTTGTTGGCAAATCAGGCTTTCTGGTGGACGGTGTGCTTTGTCCCTTGAAGCATGATGTGCTTTTCATATCAGCATTTGCAGTAGCAGTCAGATGCATTACTTTTCCATGTGAAGATAAAACATCAGGAGAAATAAACCCTAAGAGCAGTGATTTTATTTCTTTTTATTTACTGGTGCTATTTTACTTCATCTCTTGGCCCCTTACTTTGTGGGAAGCATGATGATGATGATGAAGGTGTACGATAGCGATTGYGATTGCTTAGGTTAGAAATTCTCCATGCATACAGACTGCACCCAGAAGCAGTACTCATTCCATCATTATACGGGAACGAGTTTTGTAACCTAAGCCATCACAGCCCCTGTCACGCATCACCTTGATCATCACCAAGAAAGAACAAATTCCTGCCRAGCCCACAGGCACTCTGCAAGAGCTCTCTCATTCCCCTTTGGGGTACCAAAGCTGAGTCAAGAGATGCTGGGCTGCAGTTGCATTAATTCCCAAGCTAAACCATGAGCTTTCCAGTAAAAAGGCAAAGCAATTCTCAGTGCATACCATGGTATATGAGAACCACCCAGAGGAAAAAAGAGCTGGAACAGGACTAGGCATTGAACCTTCAGTAGCACTTCTTGTGACCACTCCACTGCTTCCCAAACAAAGCTATCACACAGCTTAAGTGTTGCACAGGGCACACAAAGGCATGAAGGTGTGAAATCAGCTGATTCACAATATCACCACACTTTTGTACATGCATAAAGTTTGTTTACCAGCATGAAAGGTGTCACCAAATTTTAATTAAAAATTCTACATCATTCAGTTATATATGAGCAATCCCTCTGCCATGTAAAACTCTGTTTATCCTTACAATGTAGAAAATTTTATTTTTGCTTCTAAAATTCTGTATTTTCTTATTTTCCATTTCATCTAATTTTCAAAACTCCTGAGTCCTGTGTATCTGTTGCTTTCACTGCCAGTRTGGCACATATTAGAGTTCAGTAGACTAAAACAGGACATTAGCATGCTGGCAGAATGATTTTAAGGAGATTTGTTWTAGAGGATTAGAATAATTGGTGTCAGTCAAGCCTGGATACTTGTTATACACTAATGCATTTTCTTTTTTGATGACAGAATTTACAGATTAACTGCTTCACACTTTTATAGAGCAGAGAATTTTAAACATTTTGAGTCTTGTTTTTGGATTTTTCYTGCTGGAAAGCCAGACTACTTCAATGCCAAGGGCTGAACTGCAAAGGCCCCAGCAAGAAAAGGGGAAGAAGGGAAGAATATTCTTTATATCAGTGACAAACTGTAAAATAGTACTTTTAATACCTCACAACATGATTTTTAGAGTTGATGTTTCATGATCTAATAAGGCAATAATTGAAGTTCTGCCTACAGAAGGTACTTTTCTGATGATGTTGGTATGGTCATACAACCCCTGTGGCCAAGGGCAGGTAGTGTTTGTACTGGGATGACACACCAGTACTGGCACTTCTTGCCGTGACACTAACCCCCCTGCCCTTCCCATCCCTCTGCTGCAGGTTTCAACCTCTCTCTGCCGGCTGGCAGAAGGGAATGTGAGTTTCTGTGTCAGCCCTTTCAAAAGTGCAAATTCCAGAGCCTTACATGCACCTTCACTGGGGGCTTAGTTTGACACAGAAACAGCTGGGGCATCAGCAGCTGTGCCATTCCTTTCCCTGCTGTGCAGGTATCAACTGCTGGCAGAGCAGCCGTGTTTTGGTCTGGTGTCTCCTCTGATTGCACCTTGACAGAGCTCCTGTGTCAGCACCCTTAACATTGTGTCATMCTGAAAGCAGGCATGAGGGCAAAGGTACGTGTCATGGCTTGAGCTGATCTTACAACTCGTTCAGCACCTTTTCCCCTGCACCTCTCTTTGCACTTGTTTTGCCACACTTTGGACTCCTTGATGGCTGATCTCCTTTGCTAAGGTAGCAGAAAAGAAATCCTGAGGAAAAAAAATAGTCATTTGGCAATTTGAATTATCTTAGGTCAGGTTCAGTGAGATGTGCTGGAAGGATGGGAACCATTGGGACTGACCCCTTTGGACAGGAGTGAACGATTTGATAAACAAGAAGGAATACCAGCTCTCTGGCTGAGGTACTCAGCAAGTTCTTTGCCACAATCTTCACTGGCAGCCAGGTTTCCCCCAGCCTCTCGCTGGCAAAGTCCCTCCACTGTAAGTGAAGAGCAAGTTTGAGCCGACCAATGATCCTGGATAGGCACAAGGCTATGGGSCCTGATGAGATGCACCCTGGAGTCCTGAGGGAAATGGTGAACGCTGTTGCCAAATGACTCCACATAGCTGAAAAGGCAAAGTCAGGCAAAGTTCCTGTTGACCAGAAAAAGGGAAATACTGCTTCTATTTTTGAAATGGGGAGAAAGGAAGATCTGGGAAACTACAGACTGGTGAGCCTCACCTCTGCCTAGTTAGATTATGGAATGGATCCTCATGGCAGGAGTGTTAATGAGTGCCTCATGGCAGTAATTACTGATGTCCTCAGGGCTCTGTCTAGGGACCAGTGCTCTTTCACACCTTTAATAGACATCTTTCGTAGACAGTGAGATGATGGACATTTGCAAATGACACAAAACAGTGCAGTTGACACAACAGAARGAAGTTATACCACCCAGGGGAATGTGGACACATTTGAGAAGTGGGCCCTTGAGAACTTCGTGAGATTATCAAATCCAGGTGCAAGATACCGTACATAGGTCAGGGCAATGCCAGACATGAGTACAGACTGGGTGAAGAACTCATTGAGAGCAGCCTTGCCGAGAGGAACTTGGGTTTTTTGCGGGGGTAAGAAGC